CCCATTTCGAAATTTGCAAAACCCACAAGTCAACCACTAGCGGCACTTTCAAGAGAAAGTAGCAATTTTGTTGTCAGTCGCAGACCAATCAGAAAATTGTCAATGACACATTGAGAAGTCGAACGAAACACAAGTTCGTGCACGTCTGAAAGCTTCTTACCATGGCGGCCGCCTACTGCTTATTTTGCCAGGTTTGCGACACTATCATAAACACTGTTCGTTACGACAGCCAAACGCTTAAGACACTCAAGGTCGCTCGCCTCAACTTGTACACCGACGAGGACCACGGAGACGGACAACACTACAGTCATCACTCGATTTGTTGAAATACGTTCAGTCCCCGGTTCAGTCCCTCGCCGTGTGACCACACGCCCCACCCCCAACAACCCCCCTCAATTGATATACCTAGATAAAACCGCAAAAAAGGGTCAAAAGACCAATTTTTCAACTATTTTAAATGGTAGGGTCAGGAAGGAGTTAACCTAAAAAAATTAAAAAAATATTTTTGAAAATGTCATCAAAAAAGGCAACCAGACCGCACTATTAAAACTTCGAGATCGAAAAAAGTGCATCGAAGACTCACCCTACCCGACAGGTGCTCGGTGGGTTGGCATACCCACTGGCTTGCGAACACTTATGTGAAATTCCGTAAAACAAAATCCTCCACAACACGCAGTGGAAACTCTTCCACACGGCTTTGAAAAGGCCTCCACTACGCGGGCCACTCCCAAAACGATACGCAATAAGGCTCTCCAATGCCATCCCCACCCAATATTTCCACTACAAGGACTGGAATTGCATTACGGTTGAATTTATACGTCAGGTGCATCACATTTACCTCAGGGTACTTTTGATACAGTCTCCTTATGTCCAAGCTTTGGATGAAGACAAATAGAACATTGTCTTTGTCATCGACTCATAGTTTAACGTGAGCATCTTGGCCTTTGCCTATAATCTCCTGCAGCTTCACCTGCAGCATTTCCTCATTAGATCTTTCTTGCCTTTCTTCCAGTCTGGCTTTTGTTCTGAAACTTATGAAGTGCAAATAAATATAAGATGAAGTCCTAAGTACTTAAACACAAGATTATTCTACCAAAACACTTACCTACAATGCTCACATCCCCCCGAAGAATAATTTTTGACGGATTTAAAACAATTTCTTTCAAAAGAGGCCCGATGACGGAAAAAATAACCTTTGCTTTCTGAAATTCCTTGGTCTTGGCAATTTGAGTGGCATTTAGCCTCCTAATTTCAGGATAACCATTGTACGTCACTGTATTGTAAGGATGATTGTGTCAACTGAGGTTTCTTCAATACTAGCTCATCTCTGCTTCTGCTGTAACTGAGTTCTAAGTAAGCTGTACAACCTGTTCAATATGTCCTGAAACGAAAAATGTCTAATTGACAAAGGCACTACCAGTATTAGCACTTTGGCTGCCCAGTAATATACTTTGATAACCCCTGAAAACTAAAAGGTCGTACCACGGAGCGGCTGCGTATAGTGTCGTACCTCGGAGCGGTTGCGTATAGTGAATTAGAATTGGGAGAAAATTCTCTTTCTAATGATATGCATCTCGCAAAATCGACAAAAAATAGACTTACGACCATTCTCTGGGACGCTGGCGAGTCGTACCTCGGAGCGGCTAGCCGCTCCGAGGTACGACCTTTTAGTTTTCAGGGGTCGATTACTTTTGAAAACAGTTACCTTTGATTGCGACGTTGTCCAGTTAGTTTCACATTGTCTTTAAACTGCTTACATATCATAGTGAGTGAAAGACTCGTAGAGTTCTATCATTGGGTTTCAAATCCGACCTTCACTTAAGGGGACAGACCTGTGAACGGAGGGGTTTGGGAAAAAAATCACTTCATAAAAACCACACGCCGCATCAATTTAGGATCAACTGTGTATTAAGAGCACGCTAATTTGGCTCTTGGCACCGTTGCGCGCTTTCTCCAGGAGGATACCCATCTTCCCCTCCGACTGGACTTTTTCGGTGTGCACGATCTTACTCCAACGGATTGGTTGTCAGCGGAACTGTAACTAACTCAAAAAAGATGCTGCTAGTTGCTAGTGGTTGACCTGGGGATTTTGTTGGCTGAGCGATTAGCGAAGCCCATTACTCCACTGACCGGAAAAGTTTCATTCTGTTTGTCTGTCTGTCTGTCTGTTTGTTTGTTTGTTTGTCTGTCTGTCTGTCTGTCTGTCCGCACGATAACTAGAGAAAGAATTGAGATAGCGACCTGGGATTTTCAGGGTCGTTTTGTATCATAAAAAGACAGAACGAGTTCGAAGATGAGCATTCTAGCTCAAAATTTGGCTTTTTAAAAAATCAAAAACCACAGGTTGCAAAATATTTATTTTTTTAAAATATTTTTTTATGGGCTTCTAGGGGGTAACTCGTGAAAGTAGAACCCTATGGGCGAAAATTTTGTCCGTTTTGTTGTATCTCGCACCGTTTGGGTGCTAGGGAGCATTTCTTGGCGAAAATAAGGTGAAAACGACAAAATGGTCTATTAAATCGTAAAATTTAAACAGTCTGGGGTGTCAGCGCCGCAGGCCTAGCTATATGTGCGCCAGGCGCGTCGCAGCGTAACAGTGTTTCGTGATATATCGCGAAGCCTGTTACGCGAGACGTGGTCTGGCGTACATATAGCTAGTAAATTTCGAGATGGTACTCGCAAAAATTCATATTGCTTAAACACGAAAAAAAAAGGGAATTGGTTTTGTTCATTGTGATTTTGTTCAAGTACTCCCATTTCGAAATTTGCAAAACCCACAAGTCAACCACTAGCGGCACTTTCAAGAGAAAGTAGCAATTTTGTTGTCAGTCGCAGACCAATCAGAAAATTGTCAATGACACATTGAGAAGTCGAACGAAACACAAGTTCGTGCACGTCTGAAAGCTTCTTACCATGGCGGCCGCCTACTGCTTATTTTGCCAGGTTTGCGACACTATCATAAACACTGTTCGTTACGACAGCCAAACGCTTAAGACACTCAAGGTCGCTCGCCTCAAACACTACAGTCATCACTCGATTTGTTGAAATACGTTCAGTCCCCGGTTCAGTCCCTCGCCGTGTGACCACACGCCCCACCCCCAACAACCCCCCTCAATACTACTTTTGCTTTCGTTTTTTACCACCACACGCAAGACTACCACCGCTCATCAACGGAAGACACTACTGTCAATTGTAAACTTTAAAACCTCCGGTTTCTGTAAACAAAATTCCGTTTACATTCAGTTTTTTAATTGTAGAAAGTGAAAAGAAATATTCTTAAATTTATAAGTGTCACGAATAGTGATTTTTTGCATATTAAATCTTACCTTCAAGTTCGGCGCGAATAGTGATTTACTCACTAATTCGCTACTTAAAGTTCGGTGCGAATAGTTTTTCATTGGGTATAATTCGCACCCGACTTGCGGTGCGATTACTCTAAAACACCTTGTTCACATCCCCGGTGCCAATAAATACGGCCTGTATGAGAAAGGGGGCTTATGGACCCTTTCAAATTTTCAAAAACACTCAAAGCCACAAACACATGGAAGGCAAGCAACAATCAATTTTACAGTATGAGATCTTCGCTATCGACTAGACACATTTGAACAATAGCAGTTGCAAGTTTGGAGAAGTGTTCAACAGTACGCCCCACATAATGAAGAAGACAGATGTCGTTCAGGGCGCCCAACTAAAACAATTTATGTTAAAGGAAAATTTTAAAATACTTTCAGAAATTTGTGCAAGACTTTGCATTAAATTTTAATATGTCCCTCATTGTATTGCACTGTTAAAAAAACCGTCACCTAACAACTTACTGCCTTGATTGACACTCCTGTAATGTAACAGAAACGTTGTTTTCATTTGAACACTCTCGAAACTTGTGACATTCGGCCCATAGTGGCCCACAACAAAAACTACTACGTATTACTTTGCTGTACATTTACAAGTAAAGAGATGTTAATTTTGTTAGCAACTCATTTCGTTCCAAAACAGGACACTCGTATTATTACAATTTTTTTTTACAGGAGCAAAACAAAGAAACTGCTTTTGGTATTTTCATTAACGCTGCTTTTTTACAGTAAGGCCTGTAAAAATACAGTATATACTGCTAACAAAATTAATCGCATTTTCGCTGTACATTTACAGAATTTTTTTTTTAACAGTGTGGGCAATTCCAGACACTGGTGCCATTTGTGAGCGACTGAGAGGTGCAATATGTCCCTAGAAGCGTCATGGAAACACGCGTCTAGTAATGTGTTTCAACAACCCGTAGCACAGCACCTCTCAGTCGCTCACGAATGCTGTCACTGACGGACATTTTTCACCATTTTGTCCGGTATTGCCCAAATGCGTCCCAAAAGTTTATTTCTGAAACGGACTCGTTTCTACCACACAAGCCGCACCCGGGGGGCCAGAGCGTGATGGCGGCACGACCACCTGTTGGAATGCAATTCCACATTTCCTCAGTACCGCCAACAATCGACACTGTGCTCGAGGCCCCGCACGCCGCCCCTCTGTTTACTGAACCCAAAACAGAGAGGTAAATGAAGTAAATTTCTTGAATGTTTACGGCCACCAAGCTTTTTGGTGGTCAACTGAACATTTTGCGGTGCACACATTCATGCGACAACATCAACAACATAGTTTTAACCCAGATACCATGTGTTCAGAATGAACACCCCTATGAGCAGAGCTGCAGGTTTGCACACCGTATCGCGCCACAGGGGCCATGACGCTATATGGGCTGACATAAAAGGTCAACCATTTTACACGCTATGCAACTGGACAACTGACGGATAGCTTCAGATAACTCTAACTCTTATAACCACTGTGCAAGAACAAAACACCAAAAGACGACTGCATTACCACACGAATTGCCAACTGAATTCTTCAAATTAAAATGCTTATTACCTTATTCACATTAGTATATATAATTTATGTTTACATAGGAGTTCATTTCGCAGATTACACGAAGTGTTTACTTCTTTTTTCTTCTCTAGTGTTTCGTGGGAATGGTGTTCCTCACCTATCGAAGGCAACCCTTAGGTGGAGCTTTAAAGATCCTTTTGCGAGTCACTGAACAGCTGGAAAGAAGTCCTTCTGTTAAACTCAAGGTAAGATTCAGAAATTCCCTGTTAAAAAATCGTTTAAAAGCAAGATATTTCCCAACAAATTTATCAGGGTAGCAGATGACGTGATTGACCCTTTAAGCGCCATATGCGTCCACCTGCCGGCCACCGAGGTGCTGATCATAATTTTCAAAATTCGCTACGTGCAATGACTAGGGTAAGGGTTCAGGCTAGGACTGTCTCGCTTATCAGTTTAACTTTGTCCCGACGCTCTAACGTAACCGTTTCGATTTTTGGCTGAGCGATTAGCGAAGCCTATTACTCCGTCTGGTCGGAAAAAA